AGCCAACAGATGACGAGTACTCGAAGCCAAGCCCAGCAGTGGCTATGACGTTGACATTTTGAATGAAAGAGAGGTTAAGCCAAGGCTTAAACGAGGTTAAGGTAGGGTTGCCAGACTGCCCATGAAAGGCAATAGTTAGTGTTGCATAATGCGAGCCAAACATACAAGCAAAAGTGGTTGAACGAAAATGGGTTAGGCCTCAGCTTGAGTAAAGATTGAAGTTTAGTTGAGGTTAACATGAAGTGCCCTTTGCATAGTTTTCATATTTGATTAACTTTTCCTATTGGGAAAGATTTCCTCATTGAGTTGATTGGAACGATTTTCTGAAATTTGAATTAAAAAAAACAAAGGCAACTGTTCAAACATTTAGAAAAGAGCTTCTATTCAATTTTCCATGCTAGCATATCAAATAAAGCTGAAAGGATTTTCTTAAAATAATTTTCTTTCTATATTCCGTTTTGTGTTTTCTTTTATTTTGAGGTCTTTTAAAACTGACAGCTTTTGTCGAATTCGTTTTCTCCATGGCTAGCCAATGACCGGCGCCAAATTATGTACAACATCCGACAATTGTGGATAAGCGATAGCTTCTAACCGATACCATATCATGGCATACTTATAAACGCATCGAGAAACTTGGCAAAAAGAGAAGAAGAAATCATTGGTTATTGTTAATTTATTTCCTTTTTGGCTTTAGAATTTTTTATTGACTTGCTTTGCACGCTCGGTGCTTTGGCGGACTGTGCAGACCATGCGGACTCTACGGATGTGGCATTTCCGGTGCCATGTGCCGCACACACGACCCAGCGACTGTCGACTGGCAGCACCCGCAACCCAAAGCGTGGGGGCATTGACCATAAATGGCATCAGGAGAAAGACACAAAACACACACCAACACGACACAGTAGACACTCCGCCTGCAAGGGAACAGGATCGGGCAATAACAAAGCGTCGACACATTTAGGGCACTTTTAAGCGCCTTGGCCGTTTCTTGTAATGAACTTTTATTTGCATTGTGCAAAGGGTGCGGCTCGGGGGTTAGGCGGGGATACAGCTGCAGACAAGTGTGCCACATTCTTGTTCAACTCAACCATAAGTCGATACACTTGCCGCCCATTTCAATTCATTCATTTATCCCATAAAGCGACCGGGCCCCCATGTGTCGACAACGGCAGACCAAGAAGTCCTCGACTTAGTCTCTGGCGTGGGCGAGTGCGGCAGCACCCCCAAATCGATTTATGGGCATTTCCGGGTTGAAATCACTTAAAAGAACTGAAACGGGGTAGGCTGCTTGTTAGCTCCTCAGTGAGTGCAGCCTTTTGTCCTCGGGGCTTATATTTTGCCCCCTTTGGATCGCATTCATTTGTACGTCTATGCGTATTTGCTTTCACCCTCTCTCCCTGTCTATATATATATATATATATATATATATATATCGCTCTCTTTTTGATTTCAGTTTTGTGTGTGCAAAAATTTTGCACAAATTTGTAAGCTTTATAAAATAAATATTGCTGGGACGCATTTTAAGAAGGGGACCCCTTGACTTGACTTCGGGGTTTGTTTTGAGGCGCTTTTGACTCGCAATCTACTTAGGACACAATGATTTTTGATGCTTTTCAAACGGTTCTCTGTCTGTGGTTTGTTTTTCGGTTGAGTCATCTATAGTTCTCCGTAAATATTGTTATTTTTGCGCACTGATTGTGTTATTGTCATCGGACTAATGGATATTGCACTCATGGGCTGGCCAGAATAGATAATTGCGTAAGACTCACCCTTAACTATTTCTTTGATCGCTTGCCTTTAACTTGCTTCAGTTGTGAGCTAGATTTAAACAATTTTTTCAAATTGGATGTTCCAAAACTATTAAATATTTATATCATGACATTTTCTTCTTTAATTCCAACTTAAAAAGTTCTATATGAACGAAATAATTTTGGCTTGGTATTCCCCTGTGAAATTAAAAGGCCTGTATTTAAAAAAAAAAAGTTTATTTAATTATTTGACTGAATTATTTAATTCATAAAAATAATGTAACCGATAAATTTCGGTATAAAATTGTCATTCATTGTAATACAAGTGAAGACTATTGTCATATGCTCGCCCGCATCCTAGTTATATAAAGCTTTTAGTCAAATAGTCCAAACTTTTATTGCCCTTGTAACAGTTAGTCATGTTGCAGCCTGAAGTGCTTTCGTCTACTAAAAACGCATTAAATACTTTGTATTTAACTCAAGTGCTCTACAAATATGCACACATAAATTCTACGCATAGCACCGAAAAAAAAAGTATTTTTAATAACCGTTCAGACGGGAATGCTGCCACTTTTTCGGCGTGCCGATGTTGGCCTTATAATTTTGATGACTCTGGGCGGGCGGTCGTCATGTTTACACTTTCAATAAAAATCTACTCTAGTTTAATGTGCTGGACATACCCGAGGGAGGGGCTTGCTGCCCCTATGCCATTCCCAACGCCAGATGTGTCCGGCTAGCTGAAGCCACAATTATGGCCTTTAACCCTTTTGTCAACAACTTGAGTTTATTTGGACTTTATATGCACATGATGGGGTTGCAGTTGTCGGGTGATGCTGTCTGGCTTTTAGCTGATGCTGGCCAAAAAATGCCTTTGAGCATTGTCATAAGCGGGTTTTCGCAGCTTTCCGGTCCCTCCGACACGCCTCGTCTGGCCGGCATAATAATTTTATATGGTTTTTGGCTGCATTTTTGCATAGTCAGGACGGGATGCTATGGCAAAAGGGCAGTCAGCTTTGAATTTTGTACGGTTTGTTGCAGACTGTCGAGTCTGTCTGCCGACTGTCCCAAAAGCATAGAAAATTTGCAGTGATTTTTGTGATTTCTGTTCGTGAGTCATGTCAAAATGCCCCAAAATACTTTAAGGCTGTGCTATGAGGCTTTCAATTAACCCCGGAACATATATGCATATATATTTATACATATTTATTTATTTGGTTTCGCCTTGTTTGGCTTTGCATTTTACTGTTGACATTTCATTATGCGTTGAAAATTGCTCACCCTGTCAGCAGGCATGGCATTTGGGGGTTGCAATTTTGCGTATTTTGCCAGCACACGTCATAAAAATAATAATAATAATAATATTTGGATTTGATTTCGCCTGGAAATCGACAAAACCCAACAACCCCCGACGCGTGTTTATAATTTACGATAATTGCGCTGACTTGTGACATTTTCAATTAATTTGAATCTAGGGGTCCCCGGATTCCAATCCTGTGCAACAGCAACAATAACAACTTTTTCAACAGTTGTCGGTGTATTAATTAATAAGCCATATTTATGTAAGGGCACAGATTATAGGTAGAGGGAGAGGGTACGGGGCTCGGGTTTTCGTATGTATAAATTGTATTTGATTTGGTGTGCCCCGCTCAGTCCAAAAGGCGGTTGTCGATTGGATTCCTCCGTTAATTTATTGAATTTTAGGCATTTGTTACTTATAATTGGTTGAAGTGCAGACCCTAAGGACTTTGGCAATTAAACAGCTACCAAGAGTTCTTTAGCTGATTGCTTTATTAAAGGTTAATTATTCAATTTTAATATAATTAATCCAATAATATAGAATTGTCTTAATATACAGGTTATATTAGTGTATTATTACTAAAAAAGTTAGCTACTAGGTTTCCTTAGAAGTCATTTCATCTCTTTTATTTATTATTTATTTTATGATTATCCATTTATTTTCCTTGAGCTTCTGACTATACCTTTTTTTGTTCAAGCTCCTAGAAAAACTCAATTTTCAATTCGATTTCGCTCACTTTTGGGCTAATAAACAACCTTGGCATTGGCTACAAAACTTTGTCAAGTACTTTAGCGGAGTTCCATAAAATCAAATTTATGCATTACCTGCATTCCGCAACACCCATTTCCCTTGGCTCAGATATTGTCGCCTGACGCTGCGCCCCTGGGGAGCTCACACTTTAAATAGGCATTAAATTGATACAGCAAGCAAAAAGTTTTCCATTTTTTCTTCGCCCCCCCATTTTTTCCACTTTACCCACAGCGCGTGCTGCAACCCTCCCAACGGAGTTTGCCATCGCGCCACACAGTCTAATCGCTTTATAACTTCTAACGCAGTTTATCTGCACAGCCGCCCCCTCCCCCGCCTCCGCGACCTGCACCAGCATTCGAAGGGTTCAGTCGGAAAAGTTATGTTAAGTCTACGAAAACGTCGCTTGCACGCACTAAGCGCTTGATATGACAACGCCCTCACCTACCCGCTCCCGCCTCTCGCTTCGAACAGCTCTAACCAACACTGGCAAATGGGAAATCTCCATACAAAGCACTTACTCGTTCTAGTGTATTTCACTTTGCTCTGCTTTTTTCGCACTTTTCGCGACGGTCTTTTAATATTTATAGTATTTCCAGCATATCTGGCAGTCTGTGTGTCTGTCTGGCGGTCTCTTTGTCCAGACCCTGGTATGCAGGCGGAAATTATTGTCGGCGGCTTCTTGCATTTAGTTTTTCTGGTCTTCTTTTTTTTTTGCATCTTTCAGATGCCAAAACTTTGCGACGCCGCTATACAAAAAGTTGCTACACTTTGTGGCATGTTTTCCATTTTTTTCTTTTTTTTACTTGCTTCGCTTGCGTTTTCCATAAGTTTTGTCGGAGCTTTATTCGTTTTTCTCGTGTCTGCCTTGCGGAAAAAGCGTAAACAGATTTATTTATTTATTTACCGCGATTAGTTGGCTTCGTTTTTGTGTCCATTGTGAATGAGTATTCAATGGCGGGAAGTACCCAAAGCCGAATCGAGTTACTCACCTGTAACAAAGATTAGCCCAACCCCCAACAAGATAGCAACTGTGTTTTAATCTTTACAACTCAATATGTTAAGTGAGTCACACTGATGCACAATATGCGAAGTACCCAACGATAAGATAACGTTTCTTGTACATTACCTGAAATTGTTATCTGGCAAACGAAATTGCAAGCTCTCACTAAGTATATATTGGCAATTGGTGCCAACTGTGGCACAGTATAATTGCTCCACTCGAGGAATTAAGAGCTCCAGTCAAAAGGATTACGAGGAAGTTATAGTTCAGCAATGCCGCCACCACATCACGACGATCGTCTCTTTGGCATCCATTTGGGCCTGCACTTGGGACACCATCATCATCACCATGGACACCATGGCCACCACGGACCACCGCCGCCACCCCATCACCATCATCATCATCATGGACCACCGCCGCCACCGCATTACGATCATCATCACCATCACCATCATCACGGCCCACCGCCGCACCATGGACATGTTGACCACCATCATGGACACTGGGACCATCACCACCACCATGGACCCCCACATCATCACTGCTAAGTGTCAAAACTCAGGAATATATCGGAAGAGGAACTTTGCGATCTATGTGTGAAGTGAATTTAAATAGTTATGTTTATACAAAGCAGCCACGAATTTTATTTATTCTGTACAAAAACACAAAAACTATATATATATAAATATATAAATAATAAAATATATAAAAAAAACGTACTAAATTAAAGATCTGCATTTATTTTCAAGTTCCTGATTCGCATATTATTTTTAAAGTCCATAATAGACCCTCAAAACAATCAAACACCTTTTAGTTATAGCTAAATTAGTTGTTTTATATTCGCATTAATTGTGAAATTGAAACTGAGTAACACTTATAAATAGAAAATGACGCATTTAGAAAAATACGCGATAGCTTATCATTTATTTGCCAGTAAAACATTATACATAAATAAACACTTCAAAGTAATGACTTGAATACTGCAACCACCTCAAACTTAGGCAATGTTTGCGTGTGCTTGTGCGTGTGTGGTTTTCTACTAGATAAATAATTAATCTCTTAACCGGCACAACAATAAGCAGCGATGCGAATTAGCCACAGTGACAATTCAATTAGGTGGACCGCGCTATAAACCCTACGTAACTAAACGCACTAAGCGCATAAATATAAATGCAATTAAATATCGATGGCCCATGCAAATATTGGCCAATTACAAGCCATTAGAACTGTTTGTCACAAAACGCTAATTAGCTGCAGCTACAAAATGTGTAATTTACCTTTTTTTTCTGCTAGGATATGGAGTGGCGGGCTGGGGAGCGACTGTCATAAAATGCAAAGTGTTGCCAATCGCGTGGGACGTTTATTCGACACCTGGAAATATTGGTAATTAAAATTCGCCAGTTGGCCAGCCTGGCCGTCTAGTCGTTTGCCACTGACGTTGTCTAATAATGTTGTAAAACATGTTGCCGTTAAATAAACCGACAGACGGTCGAAAAATACGCCCCGAAGGCAACAGCAGGCGTTAAATTTTATAGTCTTTATTGACAGCCAAAACAAAAAATAGAAGAAAACTAGAAATAGTATACAAATTTACAATATGCGTACTGCACTATGCCAGGGTTTTAATCGAAACTCTTGACGACAGGCCCGACTAATGGAATCGGTAGCATTTCTCAATCTGTCTGCCTGTCAATTAAATATGAAAATTATTTTCGACCAACCCATAAACTCAACTGGGCAACTCGTATCGATGCATTTTTGACAATTTCGTCGACGGCGACAGGCCTCAAGTTGACGGCTTCGAAAGTGAAACCCGTCATAGACACACTTAACACTCGCACACACACACACAGACACACACTCGCACACACACACCGGTCTCTGTGTATACCCATAAACAATTAACGTCTCAATTCATAATTGTCATCATATTTTGTAGTCTGCATTTGTCGCTCTTAATTAAAAAACTTATATTATTTCACATGGCCACAAATGGAGTTCAAACCCGAGGCAAAGTAAACGAGCTTTTTGCCTATCATAATTGTTATTTGTATTTAATTATACAACAATAAGAAACAACAAAAATAACAACAGCAGGCAGTTTGTAAATAAGACTGGCCATATATGAACACGCAATGAGGTTTTTTTGTTATTATTATGTTTTTTCAAAGTAGCAAAAATTGAATGTGTTCGCGGGGAACATGATGTATGAGTAGATTGTGCGAGGCTTTTTAGATAGACTTTCTTATCGCAAGCTACGGGTAACAAGTTTGCCATATGACAAGTATTTTATGCTTGTTGTGGCACACGTTTGATATGTAATATACGGTCATGTCCAAAATAATAGGTATACATTGCAGTATTGTTAAAAAAAATTGAAGAAATATGCGCAAAGTTGTTTTAGCAATACTTTGGGGTACTTAATTTACAATAGAAAAAGCAAGTATCAGAGCTCGGAAATGCCCGACTAGGGGATACCCTGAACCTTCTACCAACACCAAATGCAGCTCGTGCCAGAAGGGGGTATAGTATATCAATTTTATTATTAATTGCGGGCATGGCTGGATCGGATCGACTAATCATGTTAACCAAGAATATATATACTTTTTGGGGTTGGAGTGCGTCCTTCTGCCAGCTACATACATGTGCACTCAACAATATACCCTTTTAACTCTTCTTCAATAGGTAGCGGATATAAAAAGATATCCATATAACTCCAAAAATATATTTAATTTGACGTTAAGACAATCCAGTCTTCGACCATTGTCTCGTATATCTCGTATGTCTAACTAATATACACTTTTCTGTCTCATTCCAGGTATGTTACACGTGATATGACTGTAAAACAACTATTATCGTTATATCAGGGAATAAAAATCATAATTCTCTCAATTAAAGGGAGCACGTAAGCTTTAATCATAAACTAGCACAGGGATTAAGTACTTTAGAAACATACAAATTCTGTAAAAAGTTCCATAACGCAATGAAAGCGTCTTTATCTATTATCGAATACATGACTTTGTCTGTATGCAATGCCATCATTAGGTTAATAATGCCGCCACATTACAATCAAACTCAAGAGCAATTTCAAGAATTCAACTCACATACGCCATTATGACATTTGACCATCTGTGATTACATAAAACAATTTAATAAACCCATGAAAAATCAAAAATGCGATAAGTGCGCTTCCAACATAGGCCATGAAAACTCCAACTCAAACTCCAACTGAAACTCAAACTCAAGACGTTCGCTCCTACACACATGTGGCAATAAAAATTCCTTAAATAAACATACAAGGCGAGTTGAGCTAGAAAGGGGCGTGGGCAGTGAGGGGAACACAGAGAGACAAAAGCCATATCAAGTACGCGTGCTCGCAACTATCTGGCCAATGTAATCAGCCAAGAGCTGAGACCAAACCAAAGATCCCAGACTTGAGACCCCAAAGCAGCAGCCACTGCCGCAGCCGCAGCCGCAGCCGCGTAATGTCGCTTGTTAGTACTAATGATGGGTAACTTTCCGACCTCTTTGCTGCCTGTGCCCCTATACGCCAGCAGATGCTGCCTTTAATATACATATGTTGTTTCATCAACGATATTTAGATACTCTATTGGAAAATCAAAAACAGAATAGCCTAGATGATAAAGTAGCTTTATTTGATCAAAAGTTGAAGGAAAGTCACTCGCTTTTGGTAAAATATAGCTATGGTTTAACTGACAGTTCTTAAAGTAGCTAAACCTTATGATAAGGTCGATTCCCAGTTCCGTTTCTTGAGATACTCATTGAACCCTTTTGCAAGGGTAAAAACTGTCTAAATTGTGGGCTGAGTGCATAAACCAAGACCTAGCTTTAATAATTTCATTGCACAATTCAAGTAAATCAAAGAATTTCAGTGCCAGGCTAGCTGGCTGCATTACAAAGTGATTAAGCCCAATTGGAGTGTAGTGCATGCGAACGCAAAATAAATTTGTACAGCTGCGATAGAAGCGGCGCGATATGACTCCAAATGTGCCCAGGCACAACGATGGCGATGGCGATGGCGTTGTCCATTCCACATGTATGTCATAAATTGCCATGGAAGCGCAGCGGCCAACAACAAGTTTTGGGAACTATGGGGCGCGCATACGACCAGGCTGTGCTCGGGCCAGGTTCAGGTCCAGGTCCAGGTCCAAGTCCAGGCAGTTGCGTCTAAGCAGTAAAAATTAATAGCTAGCATAATAAGCGGCATTTTATGACAAGCGTGCGCCTTAACGCAGCAGTTAGCCACGCCTCGAAACCCGCAAATACACCCTGCTAACCACCCAACCAGATGCTCACCCCTCCGCCAATGATTTCTCATGGCATCAGGGTTCAGGTGAGGGATCAGTAGGACGCGCTTTGCTGTAGTCACTTGAAAATTACGCAAATTGAAAGTTACATCGTTTGGACTGGTGACGCGGATGACCGAAATGGGCATTAGGCCACTCAACCAGCTAGCCGGCCAGCTAGCCAGCTAGCCAGCGAGCCAGCCAGTTAGCCAGGCAGCATGAGGTGACCAGTTGCCGGGTGCCCCCCAAATTCCGTCTGTCTTTCCATCGCACAAGTTATGAGCTTCATATTGGCGCTACAAGATTCCGCTTTATGATAATTACACGCCGTCCCAGCGCCGCTTTATTTATATGCACTGGGCTATGTGTGAGCAGGAGCAAAAGCTTTGGAAAATTGAAAAACTTTGTTCCGTGTGTGTGTGCGTGTATGGAAAATATATGGTCGATTATGTAAGAGCTTATGGTAGTATATCGAGCTAATGGCTTTTAGAGTTTAATTGAAATGACAATTGCGGCTGGGGGAAAAGGCAACAAGTGCTCACAAATGAACTAAAAGAATGATTATAAATGGCCCATTCAGCTAACGGCTGAACCAAATATTTTGGCACACTTCATAAGAGTTGAATAATGGGATTATCCGACATATGTGAGATGTGTGATAAGCCCTTTTGAGCAGGCTAGTAGGAGTCTTTTATAGATGTTTACATTAGCCTGGGCTCACTGCCAAACCTAACTGTAGACATAACCTTAAAAATAGTTCATTATAAAAATGAAAGAATCTAACGGTTTTGAGCTGTGAGAAAACTCCAAATCTTCTCACACTTTCGAACCATAAACCGAATTTGACCCAAGCACATTCCATGTATGGTACCTTTTCCAAAGGTATTCCAATTTAAAAATTTACAACACTCAGCAGAGAACTCTGGACTGTGTCTTCACTTAGAGAGAGAGAGAGAGAGAGAGAGAGAGAGAGAGAGAGTGAAGAAGAGAGAGGGAGAGAGAGAGAGAGAGAGAGAGAGAGAGAGAGAGAGATTGAAGAAGAGAGAGGGAGAGAGAGGTATAGTCATAAACTAAGTCACTTCATATTCGTTAAGACTTTACAACAGCCTACGATGTACTAAAAAAAAGCCAAACCACATATCCATAAACTCACTTTTTATGGGACACTATAACCTAGCCAGAAAAGTAGTTAAGAAATAAAAATCAAACACCAAGCACAAAATTTCGATTTGAAACCAAATATAGTGCATTCATAAAAATGATTAAGTGATAACTTCATACGGCAATATGGTAATATGCTCAGTAACAAATCGATGGATGCTCAACTTGTTTTGGTAGCCCGTCTCGATGCGAACAATGAGCTCGTTGTTTATGATGGTAATTAG